ATTGCTCTTTGTCCAGCTTCTGCTATTTTATCTTGATGTTGATGTGTAGCACAGAACACGCTGGCCGTTTCTCGCAGATCTTTATAGTTTAGCAGTTTTTGAAATGCACTTGTCTTTCCGACACTATGGATACGTGAAGTGGTATCACATCCTGTGAACGCATGCAAAAACAATAAGTGCTCACATATTTCAGGTCCAAGGCCTTGCCGGATTAGATTAATGTTATAGGAATTGAATGTCTTTGCTTTCCTGTTTACATCACTGCGGAAAACTAGGGAAAAGGGGGAGTGTTTGAAATAATGCAAGAGCAACAACAATAAATCTGTATCTTCGCCTATTACCGTAGTATTCATGTTTTCAGAAGACGACACTGCCTCTTTAACAATATCTACATCGGCATCCCCTAAGGCATGTACAACGGTGCAGTTACTAAGAGTAAGATGGATTCCAATTAGATTTATAATCCGTTGTTTATTAGTGCTTCCTGGAATCCTGCGTACAAAATGGGGTTCGTTATTGGCAGACATTTCATAGTTTGCAAATATAAAGATACACTTTTTAAATAGTTGAAGTGCCCCGCTGCTGCAAAGATGGGCAGTGACTCCTCTAATGCCGACAAGTGATTGCTCCAAGAACCTGTACGGTCAGAAGCAACAAGTCTGCGTACGGTGTTTACCATTTGTTGGTATTTTATCCAGAGCTTGCTTGTCAACGAATTTTTTTCAAGTTCGATCTTTCTAGATTCCAGCTTTCTACGAACCTCCTGTAATGTTTGTGAATACTCTACTTCAGAAATTGGGATAGAGTTTGATTTTACTTGTTCATATATTTTTATATATTATTGAAAATGTGAGAGAGGCGGAGATAAAATAGACAAATTTCAGCAACTTGCAATTTATATATATATATATATATATACATATATATTTATATATAAAAATTTGGAGGAATATTATTATTAGCATATAAAGGGATCTAAAAAAATCTGCCAACCATTTTACTGCCTACTTACAAGAAATAAATAGCTGCTTTACAATATGTGGGGAATACACTACTGTATTTGTCTATTGTAAAATATTGCATTTTGTTATGTTACAAAACCCCAAATTTCTCAGTGTTACCATGCTCGGATTTTGTCGGATTTTTGTTTATATATTGTCCTGTATGTATAATTTGAAAATATGGCTTAAATTTGCTTAAAGCAATTTTGCCCACCTCATAGTGTATTTTACCCGGACTAATATAACATACTAATAATAACTCCGATGAGGTACGGTATGGGGAATATTTTATTTATTGAATGATCAACCTAATTTGGCAACTAACGTAATTAATATCATTATTGTTTTTACACTTATTACTCTTTAAACAATGCTAAATGCTCAAAATATGTATATTTCACCCAATTTATCGCAGTTAGATGAATTAGCGTAAGCCTTGAAAGTAACCGTTGATTTCGACAGGTTTCACCTAGTATTTTAAAATGTTTGTAACATGTATGACAATAATCTCATGAACCTATGACGATCTGTCTAGAATAATATGATCAAATATAGGTAAAAGTGGTGAAAAAGGCAGACACCAACCCGTAAATTAGATATAAGATAGTTCAATAAGAAATAATTGTAAGAGTTACTGTGATAAAAGGATTTTCCACTGATATCGTAATGGAACGTTATAATGCAAAACACGACAAGATACAGACAAAAATCAATTTAAAATCAGAAAATAGCATCGCAAATACTTCTTTTGGACAATTCAGTAACTCCAAATAAATGTGTGTTGTATGGATTACAATTTAAAAATGAACATCATTAAAAAGTATTATCCACATGGCCAAAATGTAAACAAATCTGTGGAGGGATCTTTAAAGGCTTCTGGAGCAGAGACCTAAGGGAATTTACTTCGTTTTTCTTTTGATAAATGATCTACAGACCAAGACCCTTCTTTTGACACTTCTACCAAGTTTCTACGCCCAACCGTTCTCTCAGATTAGTGGAGACAAAGTTTCCAATTAAATATTTAGATTCCCCCATGTTAATCTTATGGGAGAAAACCCAACTTTGATGGAAGATCCTGCCCAAACTACTAAAGATTTCAAAAAACCAAAAACACTTTGAAAAACTAAATTTTAATCATCAAAATCGGTCCAAAAATGTGGGAGGAGTTCTGTTTACAAAAATCGGCTTAGCGTATTTTATATATATATATATATATATATATATATACACATATAGTACCTTGGGAGCGAGCTTTGCTTGGGGGAAAATCATTAGTTTACTCTGAAAGCAGTCTTAGTATTGCAGATACATAAATCCATTCCAAAACTCCACACTGCTCGCCTTTACTACTTCCTTCAGCACTCTCTACGTCGTGGACCAGTTTCTCTCCCTTCCCATTGCATGTTAGGATTGCGGATACATTAATGTAATTACCACAGACAGTTCCCACACTCTGCACTGCTAGCCTTACTACTTCCTTCACTACTTCCTATGAAGCGGACCTGTTTTCCTCCCTTCCCATTGCATTTAAAGATTGCAGATACCTTAATCCAATCTTCATAAACAGTTCCCACACTCCGGACAGCTCGGCTTGACTACTTCCTTCAACACTTCCTACTTCACAGACCTGTTTTCCTCCCTTCCCATAGCATTTTAGGATTGGAAATACCTTAATCTAATCGTCACAAACAGTTCCCACACTCCGGACTACTCGCCTTGACTACTTCCTTCACCACTTCGTACGTCGTGGACCTGTTTCCCTCCCTTCCCATAGCATTTTAGGATTGCCAATGCCCTTATCTAATCATCACAAACAGTTCCCACACTCCGGACAGCTCGGCTTGACTACTTCCTTCACCACTTCCTACGTCGCGGACCTGTTTCCCTCCCTTCCCATAGCATTTTAGGATTGCAGATACCCTAATCTTATCGTCATAAACAGTTCCCACACTCCGGACAGCTTGCCTTTACCACTTCCTTCATCACTTCCTACGTGACGGACCTGTTTCCCTCCCTTCCCATAGCATTTTATGATTGCAAATACCTTAATCTAATCATCATAAACAGTTCCCACATTCCAGACTACTCGCCTTTACTACTTCCTTCACCACTTCCTATGTTGCGGACCTGTTTCCTTCCCTTCCCATAGCATTTTAGGATTCCAGATACCTTAATCTAATCGTCATAAACTGTTCCCACACTTCAAACAGCTCCTCTTAACTATTTCCCTCACCACTTCCTATGTCACGGACCTGTTTTCCTCCCTTCCCATTCCATTTTAGGGTTGCAGATACCTTAATCTAATCGTCACAAACAGTTCCCACACTCCGGACTACTCGCCTTGACTACTTCCTTCACCACTTCGTACGTCGTGGACCTGTTTCCCTCCCTTCCCATAGCATTTTAGGATTGCCAATGCCCTTATCTAATCATCACAAACAGTTCCCACACTCCGGACAGCTCGGCTTGACTACTTCCTTCACCACTTCCTACGTCGCGGACCTGTTTCCCTCCCTTCCCATAGCATTTTAGGATTGCAGATACCCTAATCTTATCGTCATAAACAGTTCCCACACTCCGGACAGCTTGCCTTTACCACTTCCTTCATCACTTCCTACGTGACGGACCTGTTTCCCTCCCTTCCCATAGCATTTTATGATTGCAAATACCTTAATCTAATCATCATAACCAGTTCCCACATTCCAGACTACTCGCCTTTACTACTTCCTTCACCACTTCCTATGTCACGGACCTGTTTTCCTCCCTTCCCATTCCATTTTAGGGTTGCAAATACCATAATCTAATCGTCATAAACAGTTCCCACACTCCGGACAGCTCGCCTTGACTTCTTCCTTCATCACTTCCTACGTCGCAGACCTGTTTCCTTCCTTTTCTATAGCATTTTAGGATTGCAGATAACCTTAATCTAATCGTCATAAACAGATCCCACAGTTCGTACTCGTACTGCTCTCCTTTACTAGGCCTACAATGTATCGAGCAATCTTCAGTATAATCTTTGCTCAATAGTAACAAGTGATGCTTTCCCTTTTGTACTGTGTATTTGTAATTTGCTAGTTTACTGTGGGTAGTTGGCTTATTATGAACACATGCTACAACTTCAAGTCTTTTGTTTACTTTTTCCTTGTTATTTAATTCAACCATAGATAAAACATACTCCCTTAGTAGATTAGTCATCCTAATGGAACAGCTGAAGCCAATTTTATTGTTAGTTCTGTACGTCCAACTATAGAGGTTATGTTTTGTTTACAATTTGTTTCTTGTTATTGCAGTCATTTAAAACCTCGTTTAACCTAATAAAACGATATAATCATAAACAATAACTGGTCTCCTAGTTATATAACCAAATAGTAAAGCACAAATCATGAAAATAACCCTAAAATAATAGAAACAAAATGTTGTCTACACTAGCGATCAGTGTGGACGTACATGAACTAGATGCAAAAAACAAGCTTCAAAATTTACAATGGGATGAGGAGTCTACTTGTGTTGCTTAGTCTATGATTCAACCAACATGGTTACTAAGCTACCCATAAGACTAATGTTAAAAAAACGTGACTTTCAGTTTCGATTTTCTACGTAATTAGATTTTTGTTGGCAGTTCGAACTGCATGAAACTCGTTTTTAGGCCAAAAATAAACTATTTACAAGATTTGAAGAAAATCGTTGGAGCCGTTTTCGAGATCTTTCTGCAATATATATGTATATATATATATATATAGATTATCCAAAAGTCAATGATCCTATGCAGTAGTCACTGAGAAATCTTTCTTACACAATTTTGGTTTCATTAAGTACAAGTATATTTTTGTCCACTGTAATGCATATTGACTTTAGTCTATGATATATTTAACTGTATAACCATAGCGAATAATATTGTATTTTTGTTAGTCTAAATCAGTATTTATTAGTCTTTTTTTTGTTTTTGGGAATCAATAATTTATACCATAAAAAAACACAGGATCAGCTGTTTCAACAAACCATTATCTCTTTCAATAGAGAAGAAGACAGTGAATGGATTTCCTTCAGAGATGAGGCCATACTTAAGCCTGCGTGGAGAGCCAGTGTCACCATCTCGTGCTGTCACCCTCATCACTAGTGAGCCCTGCCAAACATAACTTTAACTGGTACAGTACTAAAAAAACATATATAATTAGTGTACAATGTTGTGCAGTATTTAGGGCACTATGGTTTCAAACCATTAGGAAGTAAAAATGGTCAACTTTCACAAGTCGACTTAAAAATACAGGGAGTTCTGTAAGTAAGTACACAAACTTAGGAAATATGTTTTACAAGTTAAAATAAAAAATAAAACTGAACAACATTTTCTGCAAAAACATCTTGTTGATGATAAATCTGTCATTTTATATTAGTATTCTTAAAAATGATTATCTTACGACATCTTTACTTAGAATTGTTAGTTTCCTACCAAATGACATCAAGTTGTGAAAAATAAATGATTTTTTTAACAGGCCTGGTGCACTCTGGACACCTGGCTCTGATTATCTGAGACAATCAGCTGTTAAACCTGCACACATGGCTCCATTGTCGGTGGTAAACCTGTGTTTTGCTATTTTTGTGACACTTTTAATTACTTTCAAAATTACTATTTTCCTGTAAAGCACAATATAAAAAATTATAGAAAGACATTTTATGATGAAATCAACCAAGCCTCAGGTTGAGAAGTGTACCTGAGTGAGGTTTGCTGGTAAGACTGTAAGAGGATCAATGTGGTCCCAGACTGGGGGAGTATCCTGCACATCCGACACCACAACCACTACTTGGAACCCTGCGATGTTGCGGGAATCTTCCCCTGGTACCACGAACATGTCCTGCCAACACCACGACAAGCTACAGTCATTACAAATATCAGGTTTGGTTTTTCATGACATTTTACAGTATTATATTAAATTATATTTTAATCCTATCTTATTACAGACTTTGATATATGCAGTCAGATTAATTTAATTAAGTTATACCTCTGATGCAAGGATATTGTTAATGTTTATACCACTCAAATGTATCCCCATCTTGTTGTTAGTTCAGTGATTATACTGAATACAAAGAAATGTTTAAATTGCGATCATGAAGAGGAGTTTGCCAACTTTTATGTAATTGTAGGCAGTACGCAAAAACAGCAGTGCCAGATTTAGCGTACAGTACTTGAGGCACTAGGCCAAAGAAACCCGAGCAGCCTTAGGAAGAACTTCCCTGGGATCTCGGGGAAATCCTGAACACCTCCAGCAATCACAGAGACATCATCATCGTTACGAGCAATCTTGGTGAATTATGAATCTAGGAAGTACAAACTCAATAATGATTTACGTTGATACAATTGTTTTGGCGAATTTCCCTCTAGGGAAGTATATACAGGGTGATCATGGTGGAAGTAAAATATATAGGTGTGCCCTTCATATTCTGACGTCACTCAGATTGCACACAAAAGATCACCTGATTGTAACTGTCAAATTAGTATATGTATTTGTTTTGATTTGGTTGTTATTGTTTTATAATGTATGTTTTTATAAAACAAAAAATACCCCCGCCGCAGCAAACCTGCAGACTTAGCGAATTTCCATTTGCCTGATTGGATTTAAACTAAAATGTCTCCTTAAAAATATCACATTTATTCCCAATTTAAACAGAATTAGTTTAATGAGTACTTAGGTTTGCTGCAACAGGGGGGGGGGGGTAAAAAAGTTTTTTTATGTAAAATATTAAAAGGTACTGTGGTTTAGTAAGAAATTAATGAATTTTCTAAATTTGATCAAAATATGTTCATAAACAAGCAAACAACAACAGTTGACTTATTCTTCATAAGAATAACATGGGAATTTTAAAATTAAAATTTTTTTGAATTTTCTCCGTAACAATTAGGCGCATAATAACGCTTCAATATACTAAATTATTTGTTTTTTTAAGCTCTACAAAATGGTTTAAAAAGAAATTGTGAAATTTTGTGTTTTTAGGGTCAAAATGGGAAAAACCTATTTTTACCCCATAAAACCCCCCATAAACCCCCGTTCCCATAGTCCGATCATGCTGGTTCGCGAACTCATTCTAGCCCGCCTTACACCTTCAAACCAAATTTGATCAAAATCGGACAAAAATTACTCAAGTTATCGTGCGGATGGACACACACACATATATAGATATAGATATATAAAAATTTGAACGAATGGTGTTTTTGGCCTCTGGGGGCATCAAAATGAAAAATTAAATCGGTCCCGGGCTTAGCTCTTACCATGAGACCTACGGTAATAGCTACTTCCCTATAGGGAAATTCGCTAAAAAACAAAAACATACTAATTTGACAGTTACAATCAGATGATCTTTTGTATGCAATCCGAGTGACGTCAGAATATGACGGGAATAGCGAATAGCACACCTATGTATTTTCCTTCCACCTTGCAGAGTGATTGATATAAGTGTGCCGGCTGTTTCATTCAAAAGTTATAAGAAATATAAGAAAAATATTAAATTGTGACTGCCTTGGATTTTTTATTAAATAAATGTTGGTCTAGTTGAAAAAATATTTTGCCATCACTTTTCCTATACCTATGGCAGCCAACTTTGATTTTTCTGATTGAAGACCCTATATTTTAAGATTATGAGTTACAGTGTGTTACAACTAAGAAAAAATTACTTGTGGTGTACATTATGCGTCATGTAGCTCATAAGCAAAAAGGAGTAAGTTTAGAGAGAAAATGCTAAGAGTAAATAAGTCTTAAAATTGTAGCCTATCTACATTCTAAAAATACCATAAAATACATTGATTCCATTGTTTCAAAAATGACTGCCATTTTCCAAAATGGAAGCACATAAAAAATAGGAAAACTGTGTATTTTATGGTCTTTTTAGAATGTGTAGATGCAATTTAAAGAGTCTTATTTACTCAAAACCGTTTGAGGTAGAAAAGAACTTTAGATACAGAAGTTGTAGATAATTTAATTCTTTACTAACCATTTATCCAGATTTACCATTTAACCATTGGTTCAGCTTTTACAGACCAAAATATAAAGGCTTACATAGTATATTTTCACTGGAAATCACTTAAATAGTGATTCCCCCTAAGCCCCCCAAAAAATGTTGAATTTGTAAAACCCCTTCTTATTGCACATCTACACCTTAGGAACCCCCTATACAAAATTTGTATAATTCTAGGTGGTATGTGTTTTGAGATATAGTCATCATCTGTCAATGATTGGTATTTGCCTTTTGAAGATACAATGCACCCTTAACCAAGAGCACACATCTTATCTTATATACTAAAAAACTTTTGCAAAACTTACGACAGCTAGCCTGGCCATACTACTGGACCGAATTACACACGGTTGGTACAAAATGAAAGATACTTTCCTGTGGATGCGCAGAATCCCTTAATAAATTAAAATAGGCTCAAAAATAAGCATGAACATGAATTTTTAATTTTAAAAAATTAACATGGGCCTTATGGCTTGCCATGCTGGTGACAAAATATAAACAGAAAATCCAAAAAAATTCCTATCACATGTTTTATTTACAGTGTGGGGTGAAAATAGAGAAGTCTGTACATTACATATTTTTGGTCGAGTTTTCAAACACTGGATTACTTCTACTTTACTATATTAACTATTTTACGGAGACTTTCAAAGAAGGAACCGTCTGTGGCAGTTAGATTAATGTATCTTAAATACTAAAATTATATGGAAAGGGAGGGAAAAAAGTCCATTATGTAGGAAATGGTGAAGGAAGCAGTAAAGGCCCAGATAGCATGCACGCTTTCTGTAAACATGCGTTTGGTGTGTTTTTCGTTCGTTATTGAAAGTATGCATTGGAAGTTTGGCGAAAACTTGTTTTTGCTTCCCGTGAAAGTCTTCTGAAGCTTATTTGCTGTAAGTTTGCGGTAACGTTGCCTGTTGCCGCCTAGCGCTACGACCAGTTGCGGGATAAAAGTGAAACGCTTCAAGTAGTTCACGATGGCTCCGCACCTGTTCGTGTAGCGCTATGCGGCAACAGGCATCGTTTCCGCAAACCTGTGGCAAATAAACTCCAGAAGACTTTCACGGGAAACAAAAAACGTCTTTACGCCAAACTTCCAATGCATATTTTCAATAACGATCGAAAAACCCACCAAACGCATGGATGCCGACGGGGATTTTTCTTTTATTTAACGGCTGCCTTTTGTGGAGAGACTAACCATCATTACTGACATTCGACTTTATTAGGCGCAGGATAGGAACAACTTTGGATATACTCATCGTTAAATGGTTGTTTTAGTTTAGAAGTGAACACATTGTAAAAAAAATAAAATAAACAAATTCTGAATCATGTTTTGTATTTGGATCTTTACTATTTTACTTTCAAATGTATTGAACAAATAGTAAGACAATAGTATTATACTGTAGAAAAACTCACAAAGTTTCATTTACATTGGTTTGGGTGCATATCAGCTGTTTGTCAAGTCAATTGTTGTAAGTGTTGTGTAATGGCTGAATTTCAAGGTAGGAAAGCTTTTTGCCAGTTGGAATATTACATTAACCAATCTGTTATTAGTGTGCAACGACACTTTAGAACCAGGTTTAACGATTATCCTCCTAGTAACCACTATATTGGCAAGTGACACTTGAAATTTAAGAGAAATGGCTGCATTTGAATGTTACTTGTAGTAGGGCTGAACTTAACAATGTGCTGCCTGAGATATGGAACGAGCTCGGTGGTCCGAATAATGACACACCCCTGAACTGGCCTACAAGATCTACGGACATCACCCCCTGATTTTTTTCTTGTGGGGATACATCAAAGATAAGGCGTACACACCACCATTATCAAGCATACTTGAGATCCAGCAACGGATTACCAATGCTATCGAAACAATAGGCCTAGACACACTTTTCAAAGTCTAGCAAGAGCTTGACTACATTATTGACATCTGTCGTACCACAAGGGGTTCCCGTATCGAGCATTTACAGTTCTGTGTATCTGTGTCAAAACTTTTTGAGTTTTTCAAAAGTTGTAACCATTTTATTTCTTTGTATAACAAATAAAACTATATTTCATGTATGTATGAAATCATGAACATCATTTGTAATAACCCTGTATATACCGGTACACTCCAATTAAATTAACTGAAGTTAATTTATATAATAAGTAATGGGACGTATTTTTTTAGTTTCGCCACTGAAAAGTGAAGGAGAAATTAGCGCTGCTTTTTTCAATAACTCTCTTAATTATTCCTTATATACAGTACAAGTAAATTGAATATCCACTATTATTTTTACAAAGACTTTTTCAAACTTGGAAGGGTTTCGTGGTTAGCAGAGCACGAACGATTAATTTCTCGGATTCACAGAATCTGGGAGAAACCCCTTTCCTGCCAAGGCTCCTAACGTCATTCTAAGAATGGACTGTGTATTGAGGTCACAGAGGGAACAATGCGCGCCCGTCCTTGTAGAAACGAGAATTAGGCAACCCACCCCAAAATCGCCAATAATAGGGCCCACTTTCCTTATTCGTAACGTAACTAAGGTTATAACAAAATATATTTAATTTGTGTTATCATTTCGATGTGACCCGTTGCCCTTGCAACGTTTTTTTTTACTTATTTAAATAATTAAGATATGGTTCAAAATTTAGAAACTGTTTTCCCATAAATTTTCATCAGTATACCTGCTAATTTTTAGAAGCTAATGGTAGAATAATACTGTAGTGGTTTTTAATAATTATGTAGGCTCATATCCGTGAGTTAATTTTTATAGGAATGATTGCATAATGCATTGAGGTAAAATGTAACTGGTTTTAACTTTTAGCAACTTGAAAACAACCTTTTCTTTCTATTCTGTATAGGCCCTAC